AAAATATGAATAATTCTAATAATTCTTATTCAACAGTAAAAACTGAATGATCTACATAGCAACAATTAGAATTGGGTGTTCAATTTCCATAATCTACTGTAAAGCATCTCAGCACTCACTTTGCCTCTATTGTATTTCACACTTGAGTAAAGAAATATTACTTGCACAATACCAGCATGAAATACGGGGAAATTGAAAATTATTTTATTGCATACAAAATAAAAAGAAATGTTATTAAAATTTTCTTTTTTTAAGAAAAATATTGTCCCTCCATTCTTTCTTTTTGTTAATCTGAGCCATCTTGGAAATTAAACTTGAGGGAAGACATTTAAGGATTTTTAAAAATAATTTTCTGTGACAACCTTTGAAAGAACAAAATGTATTTTAGATTTATACAAATTTACATTTTTGAAACTATGTGCTTGTGCTACCAAGGTATCAAAAGAAATTTCAGTATAAATGAAATCAAATTGGGGCTACAGTGAAAACAAGGGTCCCTATGTAAAGATGGAGCAATTATGGTAAATTTATTACAATCTTTTTAGACTAGGTAATTTTTGGAGGCACAAAATCCAAATTATCATTCAAGGAGTAAAATTGGTGAAGTCTCATTGTAAATGCAGAAGCCTCGTCTAGAAAAATTCAATTATTGAGCAGTGTATGTTAAACCCAGCCTGGAAATTTAACTATACATCCCCTATACAGGGAACCCTTGATTATGAACTTATAAGAAAATATACAACTGAAAAGACATAAATAGAAAGGTGACATGTTGAAACTTTTATTCACTACAGTAGTAGAGAATAGTTTTTGCAAACTCTCAATTGTAACCTTAGCAATTTCTCTTTGTGACAAATGAAGGTGAAATTACATCATTGCTCAAATGCAAATAACAAAACTTCTTTTATAAAAATAATTAGAAATTTGCTGAGGATACAAGTTAAGTCTTATAAAAAAGGTGAGATTTCCAAACATTCATTGATTTGAATCTTCCAAGTTCCACACACAGCACTTTTTATAAAGTTTATATGGTTAAGAGCAACAAGGTCTTCTCAGAAGTGGCATGAACACAATATTTTCTGGATTTTATAATACTAATCAGAAATTGTTAATGTAATTATGATTGTTGGACAGGTTCAGGTTTGATTCCTTGTTTCTCCAATTCAGCTCTGAAAATAAATCAACATAACTTAGAGAATAGCATTATCTATATGAAAATTATAAAACTTAAATTTACATCTCAAAATGAACGATTGCTTATCATATTTCCATGGCATCCTTGTATTTCCTTGGCTTACCTTAACTGTAAACTGAAATCATCTTCTACATTATCATCATCCCAATTATCTTCCCACACACTAATATCTTCATCATCTTCGTCCTTTCCAGTCCAATCTGATAACATTAAAGGTATTAAAAAAAATAATTTTAATTTGAATAACACAATATAGGTTAGAGTACCTTACCTTCAGTCGGAAATTCTTCAAATTCGTCGTCTTCTTCAAGAAGTCCGAGGTCAACCTTTGCCTTGTCAGTCATTGTATTTTACTATACTTTGCTATGTTCTCCAAAATTCACCAGTCACTCAATCCTCGCCTCTGACACAAAACACCAACGTGACTCGACCGATCCCACAAGCGCTCACAAAAATTACAGAATAACTCGTTGCGCTCCACGGTTGACAACTGCTCACAGTGTTGCCAAAAAATAACGTTCCAATCTCGCCAACTTAACAGATCTGTTGCACCGTTAAGGCGTAAGCACGTGACCATTAGCGAGTGAAGTGTGAAAAGATTTTTTGTACTCCTTTCGTCCTAAAATGAATGTAATTCCTAGTAATATAGTTTTGAGACAGTTATATTCAGATCGTCCAATACATACATTGTTTATAAATCCAGAAGGTAAAAATAAACAAGGGAGTCACGGCGATGCGGGGAGGCCGTGACCAAAAAGAGAAGTATCCTATGTATAAGAGGTCTGCGTCGCATCAGAAACAGTAGGCAGCATACATTGGAGAACAGGTGATGTAACCAGGCGAGGACGCACTGTATGGACGAGCGAGGACGCACAGGTTTGGGCTACGT